CAGCAGCATATATCCTTTATTAAAATCTGTACCTACTCTGGTTTGATAAATGCTTTTACCCTTGCACCTTGGGCTTCTTGTTCCCAGTACAACAGGAGAGACTATATAGAACTATATAGATCTATATAGAACAATATAGGTCTCAGTGTTTTAGGAAGAGCTGTTACAAAACATGAGATTGCAGTGGTCCGTTTGCACAAAGAAAGCTGACACAATTCTCTTCAATGTGGTTTATTATAATGAAAGGACCTCAAGGACATAATTGGGCCTTGATGTGGGAGGGAGAACATTACTCAGAAATAATACAATAAATAATGTAAGTATGTTGTAAATGAATGGAAGGACAGGCTTCTCTTTAAATGCTGGCGAAGAGCCTCATTAACAGGGAGAATGAACTGGGCAAATGGATCTCTGTGAGTCAGAGGGCAGCCTGGTCAACATAGTGAGTTTGAAGCCAGCCAGTGCTGCATAGTGAGACCCTGTGCCCACCCCCGAAAGAGAGAAAGAGAATTTGAGAGAGAAAGACAGCTACTAGGAAAAGGATGGCAGGGGGAGGACAGAAGAGCCTCTTCAGAGAATATCCTTCATCTCTGGACCAACTCAACAAGCAGCTTCCCTGAGGAGGCTCAGACAAATCACTAAAACAAAGGAAAGGTCTGACTTTTTATACCTTTTGGGGTGGCAGGAAGTTTCATATCATGTGACTTTGTTCAGCATAAGTGGCAAGAAACCTGGAGGAGCCAGGTACCATAAATTGAGAGCTGTTGAGTGACAGCACTGCTTCTCAACTCTATCTCAGTGAAAGCTGTCCTGTGGAGTGGCCCGATTCAGGATATCTACTCTGGCCTAAAGGTGCAGGCCTGTGTTCCTACAGCTTTCTCTACTGTGTTAATATAGACCCCCTCACATGCAGACCCCTCCTCCCAGAAGTCAAAGGATTATAAGCTGCCTGGTGGACTGAGGCTATCATGCTCCCTTTCCAGGCCCCATTCACTGAAGGTTTGTGGTATTCCTCTCTATGGGTCTCCAAATGAAGAGTAGGTTAAATTGCCCTTCTGAAGAGCATGTTATGAAACCAAATAGTCTAGGCATTCCTTTTCAGAAGAATCAGCACTCATGACAGACTTTAACCTGAAGTCCTGCTCTCAGTATCCATGGGGAAGCTCACTCAATTAGCACCTAGCATTTTTCTCAGGATGTGGAGCCTTCTATAAAAGTGGACCCAGAGAACTGGGTGTGGTGGCACATGCCTTTAATCTCAGTACTCGGGAGGCAGAGGCAGGCAGATCTCTGAGTTCAGGGTCAGCCTGGTCTATGTAGTAAGTTTCAGGCTATCTGGGGCTACTGGGAGACCTGTCTCAAAAAGACAAAAAAAAAAAAGGTGGAACCCAAGAAAAATGACAAATCCCATGGGGTCAAGTGAAGCATCAGGACAAAATGCATCTTCCTCCCTGAACTCATCCTACTCAAGAAATATAGACGAACAAACTTGCTACATCCAAAGAAAACTGCTGTTCAGACCACGCCCATCTGCAGTGGGATCTGCCCACCTTCATAGCTGATTCTGCACAGAGATCCCAGACTAACAAAGTCCTTCCTTTCCCCCCTGCCACCCAGGAATCAGCCACAGTCTGACTGCAAGCACAGGCTGTAGAGTACTTATCAGTCATGTGGCATAGAGCCTCCTCCCTTTGTGTGAGGCTGTCACTTTTAAGAAGTGACAGGCTCTCTTCATGTTGTCTTGAACTCTACTCAGGACTGCCACTAAGCTGATATCTATCAGTGTATGACATTAGCCTTCTAATAAATCACCCAAAATAACCATATTATCACAACATCATTAATATTGTCTCACAAAACAAAGGATATTAGTTAATGACCTTAAAGGATAATCCATAAATTATATATAATAGTCTTATGTGTTTAAGGAAGTACTAAAATTAATGAAATCATTCTATAAATAATTTTATAATGTATGCAAAGCATGCAATGGATTATGGTAATATACATCTAGAATAGGAATAACATTGAGGATATATTATGGAGAAAGCATAGATTAGAGTTCTGGACGTGGTACAGTGCTGGAGTGCTTTTTGGAATGCTCCAGGGCCTTGATTCATTGAAAGGCACTGCAAAAGAAAAGGGTTATAATGATTTTAATATTAGTAAACATATAAATATTTATGTTTAAATACCTGCAAATATGCATTATGACCTACTCATGATTCTACAAGCTTTTCTATTCACTTGAAAACAGAAACAAGTTGTGCCTCTGCAGGGTAGGATAGGATAATTACCATGTGTTCCCTGAAGGCATTCTCTACATTTTCCAGTTGAGCATGCAATCCAGTGGGAGAAAAAAAAGAATAAAATTACAAATGCAGGGACTGGAGAAAGGACTCAGCAGATAAGAGCACTGACTGCTCTGGCAGAGGACCCGGGTTCAATTCCCACCACCCACATGGTGGCTAAGAATGGTCCATAACTCCAGTTCCAGGGAACCCAATGCCACCTTCTGATTTCCATGGGAATTGCATAACACGGGTGTATTTACACACATGTAGGCAATACATTCATATACATAAAATAAAAATAAATAAAAATAAAAAACTACAAATGCAGACTTCAAAAACTATAGAATTTGCTAGGAATAAAGCTTAACAGTAGAATCCATTTGAAAGAAATGAAACTGTACACATGTGCATAAAATGGAAGTGGATACTATGGTGAAGAAGTACCATTAGCCCTATGGCAGTTAATCTTCATTTTCCATTTAAGTGTGTTAAGGATGTCTGAAGGATTTGTCAAGCACACCTCTAGATATGTTTATGGAGACATTTCCAGAGATGATTAGGATGTGAAGTCTCTGACCTAACCAATGATGTAAGCCATTAATGCATTCAAAATGTGAACAGACTATTAAAAGACATTAGAATTGTGGATTTTAGGAGCCTGGTTGGAGGAAGTCTGTCATAGTCATTGTTAGAGGACCACTGTCTTATTGCAGTGTTTATTAGTCAAGATATATTTGGTGAAATAAGGTAAGAATGAAGGAAGGAGGGGGAGGAGTGTGCTATATGTCAGTCAAAGACAGAGAGAAGAAAGGAAAACAGAATCAGTCGGTCAACAGTGTAGGGAATCAGTCAGCCTCTCTCTGTTCCCAGCTGAACTGCTGAAATATCAACACCTGATGCTGAGGACAGGTAGGTGTCAGGGCTTAGACAATGTGGGAATAGATGGTCCAGTGTTGGAGGCTACAGGAATACAGGGAAGGGGTGAGGGCTTACCTGAAGTAGAATAGGGCCAGAAAAGACCAGGCCTCTAAGGTGTGTTACATAATTCTTTATTCCTGCAACATTTTAATCTCATGGTCACATTTTGCTGGGTGATGGACCCATTGAAGCACAAGCTACTGCAACCCTGGAATCCAAACACGACCTTGCCACCTGGAGAGAAAGAAGGGAAAGAAGCAGAACATAAATATTTGTGGAAAGAATCAGTAGGTACTTCAGTAAGGACAGTCAGGCTCCCTGGTGGAAGGCCACACTGAGATGACCAAGGTAGGCTCTCTACACCATTACTCTTCAACCCCTAGTTTGACCCACAGGCTGTCCTTCCATTCCCAAAAGTGCTGCGTGATAGAATGTGTGAAAAGCCATGAGTCTAATTAGGAAAGCAATATAAACAGCCCTAAGATAGCTCACCTGCCTGAGAAAATGGTCTTTGGAGAGAGACCCTCAAGGACACCAGACCCTGGCTCGCAATTCACTCTTGCAGCTGTGTGCAGCAGAGTTCCAATTTGAGTCCAGTCAGCTCTGCCATTCATTGCAGATACTCATTCTGCAGACAGGTTTACTGGCCCTTTGGGCTGGGTTCCTTGAATAAAGGAGCATATTCCTTTCCTGTGGTAGGTCTGGCTGACTCTTATTTCTAAACTTTAAATTCCTTCCTTTTTCTGCTCTCCTAAATCTAACACTAAGTGGAACTTTAGAGTCCAAATCTGCCATCCCTCAGTGTTTCTTCACCTAGAAGTCTCCTGAGGACCACCCAGAGACTCCTCAGAAATTTTTTTTCTCAATATATACGTTGATCTGATCAGGACCCAATAGCAGTCCATACTAGAAGCACAGTAATCTTTTCCTACTTTAACAGGGAAACACATCTTCCCTCTCTCTCTTCTCTGAGGCTGCAGAGAGAAAAGCATCCCTCAAGGGCAAGTAGGATCACCCTAAAACTTCCCAGACCTTAAATACCTGAAGAGATGACACGCATGACACAGTTTTGACCATCTTTAGCCTCACAGATCTCTTGCTTTTTCAAACAAATCCCTTCAGTGACGAACAAAGGACAATGGACACATGTGAGAGCTGAAAAGGCAAAAATGAGTGTAACAGGTTCAAGTGGGGTCCAGCCTCAAGCATTAAACAGATGCTCGTGCTTTTATCAGTGAATAAGAAACGATGGCAGGGGAAGGTGCTGACCCCTGCAGGGGAGGCCCCTGATTGGGCCATACAGAGATGGTTTCAGGAGAGCCAGAAGGTTCCCTGACTCCAAATTCTGGGAATGGACACAGTTATGAGGAGTAAGATCAAATCTCGATGCAGGGTGCCTGATATCACCACCCATGATGAAACAACTCATTCCCTTCCCTTCATTGTCATCATCCTGCCAAGACTGGTCCTTATCCCATTTCCAACCCAAACTTAGGTCCATGCACAAGTAAGCTCAGTGAATTATGAGAATGTTTAAATATGAAGAACTGAGGAAGAGTGGGGATACAAGGGATAGGAGGAAGGGTGCCAAGAACAGGTCCAGGACAAGGACAAAATGGAGGAAAGAAGGAGGCATATATTATTCCTAGCAGAAGTAAGGGGATAAAGGGAATGTGTAAAAGGATTAAATAGGGATGAAGGGTATAAGGATCACCTCTAAAGGTAGTCAGGTCCTATCCCCTGTTCCTTGCCCCCCAAAGCACAACCTGTGAAAATCTGTGTTTTCCTACCAGCAGCAACCCTACTGTCATCCAGGAACTTACCTTGCAGGAAGCCAACCAGCAAGGAGAAGCCCAGTAGGAGCAGCAGGAAGTGCTTTTCCATTGTTGGAGGAGCCTAGCACTAGGGAGCAGTAAAGTGCTTGACAGAGCACTCAGGGCCCAGGTCAGTAAGATAGGCTTATATATAAGCCCAGGCTGTGATGGACATGCAGTAGGATTCCAGGCCATGGACTGAGATAGCCTCAGGGTAGCCCAGATCCTACGTGCCTCACTGAGTCTGCTCTCCTTTCCTTCCTTGCCCAGTTATCTAGGAGTATCTGGATTCCTTCACATGGATACATGGATTTTTATTAATTTTAAATGAGGATTCATGACTGCAAGACTAAAAGGAATTGTGAGATCGGGTGGTTGAGACTGGAGGCATGTGACACACTGCACCATGACTCCTCATGCAGAAGGAAACTACTTTCATCATTGTGCTACATTCCAGATATTAAATCTCATGCCTTCCTTTGAAATGGGGTATGAGCCTAGGTATATGTTTAGTTGTTCAAGCACTAAAGCCAAAACAGCAGACTTAAGCTTATCTGGCAGGCCATAGTTATCCATCTCAGGAAGACAGAAAGATAAGGAAAATCATGGGGTCATGGAAGGAAAGCATGGATTGGAATAGTCCCTTCCTACATGTCTTTTTCCTGTCCTGCTTATGATGTCAGCACAGAAGCTTCCCACTTTATGTGAAACCTATGAAATGGGATGTCCTCTCTGCCTTGTGGTCCTGAACCTTCCTCAGAACCCCCACTATACCACAGTTTATCTGTTTGTTAATGGGGTTAATAAATTTTCTAATAAATCTCTTACCCAAAAGGACATTATGTGTCAGTGTTCTCCTGGAAACCCAAACCCATTCTTTTTCACAGTTGTATAAAACAGGTTTTGTTCAAGGCCATTTGCTTATAGAGGCCAGGATAAGACCAAGAATAAGACTATAGAAAAGCTACAAAGACTTTAAAAAGACCAAATTCAACAAAGGATCAATTGGTTTGATAAGGGTTAATATGACTCACACACACACACACACACACACACACACACACACACACAGCTTCTCTTTGTAACCAGATTACATGGGTCAAATCCTGGGTCTTGGCAGCCCTAATAAACTAGGCCTGGTGGGCCATCTTCAATAGGCTGATTAAGCAAAGAAATACTACTGAAAAGCAGAGAAGAGATTTATTCAATGAGGCCACATTGGGAAGAAGAACAAATGAAGAGGTTCAGTAGCTTCAGGATCCTGACATGAAGCCTAATTTTAAATCAAGGTCAAGAAGTATGCAAAGCTAATCAGTCCCATGTGTCCCCACAAACACTCACAAAATAAATGAATAAATGTAATTGAAAAAAAATTTAAATGCTTTGCTTTAATAAAGAACTTAAGGATGGGGCTGGAGAGATGGCTCAGTGGTTAAGAGCACTGGTTGCTCCTGCAGAGAACCTAGGTTCAGTTCCCAGGACCTACATGGCAGCTAACAACCATCTATAACTCTGGTTCCAGGGGAATCCAATGCCTTCTTCTGACCTCCACAGGTATTGCATAACACAGGTGTACTTGCACACATGCAGACAATACACATGCACATAAAATTAAAAAATATATATATATTTTAAAAACTTAAGCAGGATTAAGAGAGGTGCTTGGGAAGAACTTTAAACAGGATTAAGAGAGAGGTGCTTGGGAAGAAAGTAAGACACACTGGAGGGCATGAGTGCAGGCTCCTCAAGGATCAATCTTAGCTCGTTGTCCACAATAGCCATATATGCCTAGGTGGTGGGTTTTGAAAGTCCTGTGGAGGTTAGAGGACAACAGCAAGCTTGCAATGTCAGAAGACAACTTTTGGAAGTCAGTTCTCTCCTTCTAACATGGGACCCTGGGATTGAACTCAGGTCACTGGGCCTGCACAAGTGCCCAAGAACTCTTATCGTTCCACCAGCCCTGAAGCTACTGTCTAGAAAGAGTTAAGAAATTTAAATGAAGTCACAGAATGGTTTCTGATTGCACATGGTAAAATGCAAGACCGCAGAAATGCAGGCGATTAGGATATCTTTACTGTGAACAAAGTTAAAAGTCTGATTTGTGACATACCAGGAAAATATCTGGGAAAAAAGTGAGGGCCTACCTGAGGTCATTTATATTTCAGATCTTAAGCCTGGTTTATTGCTGTATTACCCCTCTTATTCAAAAGTATTTCTATGTAAGAAACATGGTTTCATGTTGGCAGCCTTTATAGCAAATGCTGTTAATTGTACTGGAATCTTGATTTTCAACTAGAAAGGGGCTCAAATTAAAAATAAATGGATAAGGGATGGCAATGTAGCTCAACTGGTAGAGTGCTTTACTAGCTTACACAAAGCCCTGAGTTCAATCCCCAGCACCACATAAAACTGGGTATGGTGAAGCACATTTATAATCCCAGCACTAGAAATTTGGGAGATCACAGAATCTGATTTTCAAGGTAGTTTTTGGCTACACAGCAAGTAGGAGGCCAGCCTGGGATACATGGAACCATAAATAAATAAATTAATTAATTAATTAATTAATTAATTTCAGGGTAAAGCACAAACAGATAAATCAAGAAGAAACCAACACTCAGCATCTAAGAGCTGTGAATAGTACTAAACATCTATCAATGGGTTTCTGGTATAGAGGAAAAATAGAATATGTATGAAAGACATGCAGCCATTATTTTTCCCCAAATAATGTAAAAGATAAAATATATATTCAGCAAGGCTAAAAGAACCTCAAGCAGGATAAAAACTAAAGCTATGCCACTTCAAACATCTGAAAACAATCAGTAATAAAGAGGAAAAGGCACTTTGTCATTATTGCTGATCAAAGACAGGAACTTCCCCAGGACAGTCCTTAGAAACTATGCTAAGGACTGATAAGAAGCTATATTCTTATAGCCAAACTGTATTCTTATATAATGTCCTAGTTAGCTTAGGCCATTTGAAATTTCTTCCTGCTTTACTTACTAGGTAGATATCTTAAAATGCAACCCTGTGATGTTTCACTACTGAGTGTTATTTTATTGCTCTGTGTTGTCTTTACTACCTTAAGATATTTTATTACTCTGTAATATCTTGAAGCTCTGTCGTGCTTTCTAACTATGTCAAATACTAATAAAAAGTATAAATCCAAGAAAATGGGAATGTTACCAAACGGTCTAATAAGATATTCAATTCAATTAATCTAAGCAAAGTGTAGGTCAAAAGTGACAGATATCTAAACTTCTGCCTGTGATACATGTTTTGGAAACTGCAATGACCATTTGACTGACTCCTAGCCCAATTAACCTGACTGAGCTATAGATTAAAGGTGGCAGATATCCTGACCCATACTTGTGATATCTACTTTGTAAGCTATGATGATGGAGTGAACTTGGGAAGGAATTA